CTTGGGTTGCTTTCATCTATGAGCCCTTGTAAATAACGTTGCTATGGGCATAATATTCTGCCATTTTTTATCATCTATGCTTTCTTCCATTCCCCACCTCATCCAATTATTATTTGTAAGAGATTTATTTTATTTATCTTTTTATTATCCTTACACAGAACCTGGCACGTAGGAACTGCTTTTTAAATGTTTGGATATATGGATGGAGCTTTAAAAATTAATGGGTTTTTATTGTTGTTTTAAACAAAGTCTATAAAGAGGAAACCTTTTTTTTCTTAGAATCTCATAGTAAAAGTGTAGCAAATATTTTTATTTTAAAAAATTAAATTTGTAAAGAAAAATAAGGATTTCCTATGCTAAGCAGGGGCCCACAGAATAATGAAAGTTGCTGAAGAAGCTGATGGGAGATTATATTTTTACACCAGTACTGACAGTGCTGTGTATAAAGTCATTTACTTCTAGAAGTCTCAGAAACCTTTGGAATCGCTGACTTCACCTGTTAACAAAGATTCAACTCATTAGTGATGGAGTTTTTGATTGATTCCATATGTCAAGAAGATAATCTGGGAGAAAAACTTATCTTTTGGTAACAAAGTCCTTGATAGGGTTGAGCAGCTCTGTGTTTTATTGTCCTTTGGGTTATAGATGGAAAACTCTACTAATGCCGTGTAAGCTCAAATGCTCACGGCCTGACTTCCTGGAATTAGCGTTACCATCAGCCAGTTGCCCCAGCGCCTAGAGTGTCACCTAAGAAGACAAAAGGTTTAATCATTCCAGTAAAAGAACTATAAATCAGCATGTCTTGCAAAGGAGGGAATTAATGAGACACCTTGCTATATTGTACTGCACTGCACAAAGTAAAGTGGGGATGGTCATGCCACCATTGGGCCAAGGATGGTCAAGTAGGGGGAAATGGCTCATGGCAGAAAGAGTCTTTGTAGCACCCTGCCACTCCTGGCGCTGTTCGTCTCCATATGGCTGGTGCTATGTGTACAGGAGAACGTGAAGGCTCCACCTTTGAAAAGAATTTGCCTGCTGTCCTGGGACAGCAGCAAAAACCAAGGCCTCAGAACAAAGCCATGTCTACCGTGGCCCACGTGCTTCCTGGCAACACCAGGTTTTGGAGGCCACCAGAGACTAAACTTTGACTGCCATTTCATATCATGTCATCTTGAGCGGGTCACCTTCTCAGTTATCCTTCTGTAAACTTTGAGTGCAATTCCTACTTCATTAAAACCTTTGGACTAGTAGAAAGAATTGTGAGGCACACAGCACAGTGCCTCTCCCAGAGTCTACATTCAGATGAAGTACAACATGATTATTGTCATTGTCATGGAAGGGGGGAGTAAGGGGAGTCACTCTAGGACATGAGCCCTCTATGCCTGCTGCCATAGAGACTTTCTGGGTGACAGTGTCACTGCCTTTCAGAGCAGGATTAGAACTGGGCCTGGAAAGGATGGGATTTGCTTGTCTAACTATGGTTCATCCTTCCAAGCTCAGCTGAAGAGTATCCATTTCCCATCACATTTTCTGATGTGCTACCCAGGAGACTTTGCCTTTTCTTCTCCTAACTCTTCCTTTGATATTTTGTCATTGTCAAGCCCCTCCTCCCGCAGTGACGCTGTTCTGCATGGCAGTCGTCGTTTCCATTTCTAACTGCACAGATGACGTTGTTCCTTAAGGTCTTTTCAGAAAAAGCTCCCACTGTCTCATTCCCCTGAAGGTCTCCCATTTGTGCATATGTTCTTTTGTCCATTTTTATGGCACAGACATCTATCTGATCTAAAAGGATGTCACCTCCAGTAAGGAGACAGCAGGCCCAAAATGTTCCTTTCTCCCCAAAGGTGGGATTCTTTCTCTGCTCCTACAGCTAAATCCTTCCCCAGACTACCCTCACATACAAATCTGGTTGCAAACTCTTGAGTTCATGGGTCCCTCAGCAGACATCTTTTGATAATTCCGGGCCGCAGCTCCAGGAGTGAATGTTAATGACTCCAACGAGCATTTCCTCTGAGCAGCTCCAAACCTCCTTGACACAAATATCACTTACCTGCTGTCATGCTCTGAAACCTCTTTCCTGTCAGGCCAACCAGTGTTGCTGCCTCACCAAGACCACAGGGCTCCTGGAGCAGAACCAGGGCCAACCTCATTCTGTGGTTCTTTAAGCCCATGTCTTTGAACTTCTTACTGGGGCTGGGCTCTGGTGCTGTCCCCAGGGAATATGCAGATGACTTCAGAAGGGCCTTGCCCTCCTGAGCTCCTAGCCAAAAGGGACACTAGGGAAGACTACCCCAGTACCCAGGGGTGCACAAGACTCTGAGAGCACCGACGAGGGATGAGTGACTGTCACACACAAGCCTGAGTTTGACAGGACAGTCCAGGTGGAAGGCATAGAACTAGAAAAAGCAAGGAAGAGTGTAAGAACAGGTGTGGATATGATCAGGGAATGCATTTGGAGCATCTTGTGTGTACAAAGTAAAAGCAAAGGGGGACACACAACAGGATTCTGGGAAAGAAAGCTAGAGTCCATTTGGAAAGGCTCAGATTGCCTAGCTAAAGCACTTTTCCTGTCTTCTCCCACACAAGCCACCTAATGTGTGCCCCACATGTTGTGAGTTATGCAGTGTTGAGCAAAACAGACACCATGCCTGCCCACATTAAGCATCTCTGTCATCTAGAACAGACGTAACATCCAATCATCACAGAAACGTGACTCCTGTGCAGAGTTCTTGAGCAGGATGGTGACATCATCAGTTTGCATCTTAGAACTCACTCTGCCCAGAAAAATTGGAGTGGACAGGGAGGAATGAGATAGCACAGGGTCAAGAAGGTGAGCCTCCATGGCAGCCTGGGCCTGCACCAGGGTTGTGGATGGTAAGCAGGGAGTAAACTGGTAAGAATAGGAAGTACTTAGGAAGTCTGACAGGTCTACAGTGGGTCCCTGGGATCACTGACAAGCAAGAGATAAACAGGTTTGAGGTACAGTCCTGGTTCTGATGGAATCATAAATGGGAATGTGGGCCATTTGGAGTTTGAGGTGCCAGTGGGCTATCCAGGTTGGGACTGAGACCTGGAAGATTGAAGAACTGGAAAGGTGTCAGCTGATGACTTGTCTTAAGAGTCATCAGTTCCACTGGGTGCCAAGCTCAAGCCTGTAGTCCTTGCTACTTGGAAGGCTGAAATCAGGAGGATCATGGCTCAAGGCCACCCCAGGAGTGTGGGGAGTGTTCACGAGATGCCATCTCAACTGATAGCTGGGCACAGTGGTGCACACCTGTCATCTCAGCTGTGGCCGGAAGCATATAATAGGAGGATTGTGGTCCAAGCCCACCTGAGCAAAAAGCAAGATCTTATCTCCAAAATAACCAGAGCAAAAAGGTCTGGAGGCATGGCTCAAGTGGTAGAGCACCTGCCTAGCAAATGTGAAACTCTGAGTTCAAACCCCAGTACTGGAAAAAAAAAAAAAGTCATCAGTGTGCAAGTGATAATGTGCACATAAATGAGATGATCACCTGGAGAGAGAATTAATTGCCCTACCATGGTCTCAAGGGTGAGAAGCAAAACTTGCAAGCTACAGGGAGGAATTCTAGTTGGTTTCTGTAGCTGGTCTCTCAGTTGTTAGCTGGTGGCAATCCATGCCAAAGTAATAAATGCCATGAGCAGCTCTGTTTTTTTTTTCCCCGAGGAACTAGTGTGCTTTTTTTCCTGGTACACAGCACAAAGTTTGCATTGTTTTACTCCCTGCTTTAGCAGCAAGGAAGCTCAGAGGTAATTTTGTAACTTAATTTTACAAACTATATAGGACCAACATATCCAAATATCCTACTCCCAAAATAAATACTTTTCATATATTTATGTATTTCCCAGCCCTTTTTTTCCCTTTGTAATCTTAGGTGCTCGTGTAAGGTGCCAATCCTTTGTAAAATTAGGTAGGATATAATTGTATGTATAAAAATAAATTTTCCCTCTGCCCTCATATTTTTGGGTCACCCTTGCAGCCTGTGCAATAAGCCTGCCCAGTTGCTGAGCTAATATTGGCTAGATTGAAGTGGGAGAAACTCTTAGAATTTAACACAAGCTAGACAGTAAATTTAACACTCACGTAACTCATTAAAACAGGATAAAAGTGGAGCTTCAAACATCTCTGTGTTTGCCACCAAATCTGTGAAAGGGGGGAGGGGCACCCTTAATTCAGCTCAAGATGTAAAAGTCGGATCTTTCAGAATTGAGAATATGCCACCAAAATTAAAGACATGTCTGTATAGATAAGCACTCCAAATGTGTTCAAAGAAAGATGGAGGTGTTGACTATACAAGGCCGGGATTTTTTAAAGCTTAGGTTATCATTTTCTTGACTCATAAAATGTAGTTTGGTGGATACAAACTTCCGAATGAAGTAGCTTAGGCACAAACTTGACTGGATAGTAAATTTAATTTTTGGTCATCCAATAATTAGTTTTAAAATATGATTTGCTTTGGTTAAGACTACCGTGTAAATAGATTTCAAAGTGTACTCCACAGCTGGTGCCCTAGGGACAGCAAAGGTGCAGTGGGGACAATGGTGGATGAGGAGAAGGCCACCAAACAAGGAGAGCCTAGCCATCAGCCATTGCCTCCACTCCCAGCACTGCAGCTCAGCACTGCCTTACAGAGCAGGGTTCCTCTGTCTCAGTACAGGGTTCTGCTCCTAAAAGTAGAAAGAAACATTTGGAAATCATCACACTGGCAGGCATATCACTAACTTTCTCTTGGGGTGTGACCATCACCCATAAGGAAGGGAAGAATTGGGGGGTGAGAGAGAGAGAGAACCTTCTGTCTTCTCTGACTTGGGGGCATGACACAGCTTCTCAGTCATAGACTAGAATAACTTCAGTGATACTCAGGACTTCACTGCTGAGGTTGAGGTGAATTAGCAGGTGTGGGAGCTCTGCACATATGAGCTGAGGACCAATCATGTTCCCTCTATTCCTCTGACCCTCCTGTCCCTTCTGTGCTTCCCAGGAGGAGCCCATCACCTTCTGTGAGGAGGCCTTTGTGTCGCACTATCGCTCCGGAGCCATGAGGCAGTTCCTGCAGAATGCCACACAGCTGCAACTCTTCAAGCAGGTGCCCGAACACCCTCTGCAGGAACGAGTGCAGCTATCTCTGCCCTAGACACTGAAGCTGCAGGCGAGGGGGTACCCCAGGCTGGAGAGAATCAGGGGAGGGAGGTTGGGTGAAGAGATTGTCAGCCACCAGATGGGCCCTTGGGAGATGTGCTGCATGGTTTTCTAACTTATCATAAACGTGCAACTAGCTTTCCAGAAAACTCAGGGGTTCCAAGGACCTTTCCCATCTTGGAACATGAGGCTGCTCTTAGGTGTGCAGCACAGTACCCAGCTGGGTGGCTCCCCATGTCTGTGGACACACTATTGTGCTTTTCTCTCTCCAGTTTATTGATGGCCGACTAGACCTTCTTAATTCTGGTAAAGGTTTCAGTGATGTCTTTGAAGAGGAGATCAACATGGGCGAGTATGCTGGTAAGCGGCTACTCGTGGCCTTCCTGGGCTAGAGTTGCTATAGATGAAGGTGTGGTTGGTACAGAGTGACAAGGGCTTTTTTTCTCTTGCACGAGGGGTTGGGAACTGACTGCTTTCAACCTTGGCCTCACAATGGTTGAGGAATTCCTATTCATCTTGTGACAAGGTGCATGTTGGCCCACATGAAGTCCTCTGTTTCAAGGTCAGTGACTTCCCCCAGATAGATGAGTCAAGTTAAATGTTGTGACCATCATGATCCAGGGAAAGTGCATGAGATACTGAATTAGAACACCTGGCTTCAAGTCAAGACCCTGGCCAGGTAATTTCCCCTCTTGCAACTGAGGTTGTCCTGACTGACACTGGCCACCTCACAAGACTTCTACAGAGATGAAGTCACAGTCGGTAAGACATTTTGTGCAGCCCCCCAGGAAAGTCCCTGGCACAGGGTCAGGATTCAGCAAACATTTCTTTACAACATGTATGTCAGGCCAGGCACAGTGACATGTGCCTGGAGTTCCAGCACTTGGAAAACTGAAGCAGGAGAATCACTGGAGCCCAGAAGTTTGAGACCAGCCTGGATAACATAGCAAAAAAATAAGTAAATAAAATATGAATATTGTTTCTAAGTGCCCAATCTCATTAGAACTGGAAGACCATCTTCTCATTTTTCAATAGAGGCATCAAGGCCCAGGGAGATGTTAGCAGTTAACACCCCCTCCTGAAGCTCAAGGTTCAGTCTTTGACAGCAATGATAATAATATTCATAGCCTTGGTTTTGGGGCGCAAAATAATAAGACTCATATTGCCACTCCAGTCCCTCTTACTACTCACGGCATGTCTGGTCTGGACCTTTTGATTATCTGACTGGCTGATCCACCTGTGGATATTTTGCAGCCCACCCTTCATGGAGAACACAGTCAACTAAAAAACCCATGTAGAGTCTCTGGACACTAAGGGCAGATTGTTAACAAGCATTTCCTAAACACCATTGTGTCCAGAGCTGTGTAAACAATGGAGGGCCCAGTTCTGCCCTCAAGGAGCTGTGAGTCAGTGGAAAGAGATGTGTAACTAAAGACAAATGAAAACTAAACCCATACAGGAAGAGAAATAGAACCTAGGTTTGGTGCAGTTGGAAGAGGGCTCTGTTCATTCTCACCGCATCCTATGAGAGCTTCTCAGGGTTTGACTGCAGGTGAGGAGTTCTGTACTGGGAGAAGACACACTTCATGTGTTGCTAGACAATGCTCAGTCATTTGGAGCTCCTGAAAAAGCTGTCTCCTGCTAAGACCTCCTTGGCCTACTGAATAAGATAAGCAGAGCTCATATACAGCACCTCATTCTTTCCTTGTCACTAGTCAAGTGTCCTTACTCAGCCCTGGTGACTGACGATATGTCAGAGAATATGGATATTATCATTGCTGGGAGACTGTTAAGAGGAAAGAGAAGGAAGAAGCTTCCAAAGGAAATGACATTTCAGCTGGCTGTTGAGTTCACGAGACAAAGAATGTGGCCAGACAAGGGAATAGGCAAGGCCCTGGAGGATGGAGAGATTGCTTATTGGAAAAGCCCAGTTTGGTCCTTATGGTCAGAGCAGGCCAGGCAGAATGGAAGCACAGGCTGGAGAAGCAGGGCTAGGGAAGAAGTGGGGTTGCCAAAGAGTCTGACCTTTATCCAGTAGGCCAAGGGAAGGCTTCGGAGCATTGGTACTCTGAACACTGATAAGAAAACCCATGGCCCTGACTCACTGCTGCCACCCTAGCCCCTCTTACTGCTCAGGGCCTGTCTGGTCTGGACAGGGAGTGGGACATAGGAGCCTTCTGGTGGTTCAGATTATGAACTTTTCACATCCTGCATGCTAAAGGCAATTTAAAGAACTGTTTAAATCACAACTTCTCTGACTTCTCTTTCCCCAGGCAGCGATAAACTGTACCATCAGTGGCTCTCCACAGTCAGGGTAAGTATGCCCCATTCAGAGCCACCTGGCCTTCTCTGTAGGCTCCTGGCAGCTTTCTGCTCTCCTTGCCACCCACGAGGCTGCCTCAAGGCCTGGAGCCCTCAGCTGAAGATGCTTTTGTCTTAAAGCCAGGCCATCCTCCATCAGGCAGAGACTGGAAGGATGGGGCTGGCCAAGGAAAGAAGGCAGGAGAGGTATCCTCCTCTTCAGGCCAGCCAAGGCCTGTTGCATAGAATGTTATCATCCTACAATATTTCTGGGAGTCTCCTTCCAGGGTCAGTATAATTGTCATGGTCATGGGGAAACCAAAAGTGTGTTGCTCTTGGTGCTCTGCAATATTTTTCACAGCAAAGGCTCCTAGGAGGATGAAGAACATATCCCTGAGAGATTTTTTTTTACCTTCTCACTGCTGATGTGAACAATTTCTTGCTGAGTTGGGAACTTAAGGCTTCTGGAGCCTCTAAAGAATTCAAATTCTTGCCTTATCATTCCATCAGTTTATAATTGAGGATGTACTGAAGACCTACTATGTGTCGGGCACCAACTGGGTACTAGATACACAGTGGGGGAGGGAGCAGGATGTAGGCCCTACCTTGGGGAGCTCCGGCTTGTTTGGTAACAGGCATGTAAACAGTCAACTTCAACATAATGTGATAAGTGTTCTCTCTCACCCGAGGGCCAAGTATACTGCTGCCAAGGCAGGTCCCTTGGAAGTGGCTGCAGTTGGCCAAGAGTAAGCAACTTCTTGATGAAACCCTTCCTTTGTTCTTGTTGGATAGCCAAACATACCACTTGGCAAATGAGAGTCGAGCAATAAGGACCTGTTGATTGATTGATAAAGGGAGTTTCAATACTCCAAAGGACCATTTAAAAAGGATTCTGAGTAATTTTGGAAGGCAGTGTGGAATAAATGAGTGGGTGAAAATTTCCTATTGTCCTACAACATAGAAAGCTTTCTAGGTCAAATTGTTATGTTTTTAATTAAAGCTCAAATTTTCTAACATGAACAGTTACCCAAAAATATTCTAAAAGTTAAAGCCATTAATTATATTACTGTCTCTTATTCGGTTGTTTATCTGCTGTTTCCATCCTCTCTTCATTCGAATCAGTTGGATAAACTTTCCAAATCGCCACAAATTAGAGTATGTGATCGATTTGATTAAAAGCCTTCCAAAGCATAGCCCTTGCCCTGGCATTCCAGGCCCTTCACAAGCTGTCCCCATGTGGCCTCCCAGGCTTACTTCCTGCTCCTCCTATGATACAGTATGCATGGGACAGCAACCACTGTTCCTCCCAGAGCACACCATAGCTTCTGCATTTATTTCTGTACCATTCCCTGCTCTAAGAATGTTCTTATCCTCCTACCCCCACACCACTTATCCTTCATGGTCCAGGCCAGATGTTTCTGCTTCTGATATCTTAACTGACCTCCCTTGTCTCCACACACTCCCTGTGCACAGCCATTACAGTTCTAAACTTACATGCCTTTATTTATTCTGGCATACCTTCCACCCCCCCATCAGAGGTCTTTGAAGGCAGAGACCAAGCCTGTCTTGGCTCAGGGCCTTCAGAGCTTAACACAAGGGTCCGCACAACACACCTGCAAGGATGAGAATGAAGCCCAGACTCATGGACAGCTCTGGAACAGGGCCTGTTTGCTTCAGCTCCCTTTGCTGCCTCCTTAGGTAGTTAAAAGCCTTCCTCTGTGCCTTCCCTCTTTGCTTCCTAAGTGAGACATGGTGTGCTGGATCTGTCTCTACTGCAACCACAGTATACAGTATGACCATTTGTCCTTCCTTAAGATTTAGATGTCAAGGGCCGGGTATGGTGGCTCATGCCTATAAGCTATTCGGGAGGTGAAATCAGGAAGATCACAGTTTGAGGCCATCCTGGGCAAAAAGTTCATGAGATCCCCAACTCAACCAATCAAAAGTTGAGTGTGGTGGCATGCACCTGTCATGCTAGCTACATCGGCAGCATAAATAGGAGAGTTGCAGTCCAGGTCAGCCTGGGCAAAAATGCAAGACTGTATTTGAAAAACAAATAAAGCATAAAGGACTGGGGGTATGGCTCAAGTGGTAGAGCACCTGCCTAGCAAACACAAGGCCCTTAGTTCAAATACCAGTACCACCAAAAAGATGGATGGATGGACGGATGGATGGATGGATGGATGGATGGATAAAGAAGGCAGTCTACCAGAGAGATTTTTTAAAAAGCCAACACAAAAAACCCAGGTAAGGAAAGGAAGTTACCCAGGTGAGGGCAGCATTTTTCTAGATGGTCCTGGTTAATCAGGACCCCATTTTCTGCCCTGGCTTGATGTCAGCTAGAGAGTCCACGGTTATGAAATTTCCCAGAATGCTGTCTGTGGTAACTAGAAATTATTACAAAGTCACCAATGACTGTGAGGAAAACCTTGCCTCACACAGTCTGAGACAGAGACAGGTACTAAGTAGAACCCTGAGCCCAGAGTCTCCCCTCAGCTGCTTACCACACTGGTCATCCCCAGTCCCCATGTGCATGCACACATAAGTACACCCATAGTGATTCTACCATAACCCTGTGACTTTTCCAGACCAGTAACCATCTGTATCTGGTTCTCTTCTTGCATCACATACCCTTGAAATATTGCCTGACTTGATTGAAGAGAAGAGGTCTTTGTTGGTGTTAGCCTGCCCTAGCTTCAGCCCACATTGCTGATTGATATTTTTATTACAGAAAGGAAGTGGAGCTATTCTGAATACTGTAAAAACAAAAGCTAACCCTGCCATGAAGACTGTCTACAAGTTCGTAAGTACCGCTCCTAGTCTCGGGATCCAAACATAGATCCCTTAGCACAGCTAGACTCTTGAATATACCTGCTCTTCTATGGCAGAGGTGATTTCACGGGTGCTGCGCTGTTTCTCAGCAGTTTCAATGCTCTGAGAATCATTTAACATTGGTATTTTGTGACTAGATTGGTGACATTTTTTATTTAAGATGGTACTGCTCACAGCCACTGTAACAGAGAAATGGGAAGTTGCTGGATTTAACTTTTAAAATATGAGCTGGGCAGCAAAACTTCAGGCTGTTCCTGTGTCCTTGATTGCTGAAGGAATGATCTAGCAATTGTCGTGACAAACCCTTCCTTCGTGTGTCCCATTATTATGTCAAATGAAGCAGCTCCTTTGCAGGTTACTGAAGTGTGCCTGTGGTGGGGTGCCCTTGAATTTCTGTCCCAAATTTTCGTCCTGCCTCTTATCACTGCCATAGAGGTACGTTACCTGGGGGACTCATGCCCACAACAGAGTGAAAGTAGAAGGTTCCATCAGTTCCTGGTGCTCCATCTTTTATGAGCCTCAAGTATTTGTTCTTGGTGATTTCTCTTGCTTGCTAATTTGACCCTGAGCCACTGAAGTGGGGTGATTTGTTTAATTCTTATTTTTAAGTGTGTCAGTCCTTTCTATGCTTAAATTATAGTTCCTGTAATAGAGTAGGTAGCTGTCAACAGAGCCACCATACAGGTTTGAAATGACATAAAATAAAATAAAAACCGGGATACCCACTGAAATGAGAATAAAAAATAGCACTATCAAAGCCCAGCAGTGTCTGTTTCGACCCTTCAACCTGGACAGAAAATTGGTCCTGAGGTCCTGCCCTGGTAAAATATAATGGATATTCTGAATCTTGCAACCAGTAAAGCTGCTACTCAACTCTTACGGATGGCTGTCACCAGGCTGCCAAGATAAATAATTATAGAGAGCAGAAGAAGGACTTGAGAAGGAAAAGAAAAAAAAGTCTATCCCATCAAAATGCAGAAAATAAAATCTCTGCATCCCTTTAAGGGATTTTTTTTTTAACTTTTTACTGTTGTATTTGTTTTCATAGCCATTATGTTTTCGATTTGATGATCCCATTTTTCCTTCCTTTTTTCTAGTAATCAGAGAAGGTGATTCGCCACAGACTGAAATCAAGCATAGTCCCTGCTGGAAACAGAAAGGGAATCTTAACTTAAATTAATTTTTCATGCAGGCAAAAGATCATGCAAAAATGGGAATAAAAGAGGTGAAAAACCGCTTGAAGCAAAAGGTACTTGAAGTTCTTATTCAAAATGTATAAGCACTATGTATGAAATGCGTGGCCACAAAAAAGTAGGATGTGATCAATAGAGGGCTGTTTGATACAGTGTTGTTAGCACACTTCAAAATGCATTACCAGCTGTCCGGGAGTTTTCACACTGTTATAAATATTCACAGACAAAAATACTGTCTTCAAATAACATTAAGACTCTGGCTTAAACCCACAAAGGCAGGCAAGTTCAGAGTTACCACTGTTGGTCTGTCCCCTCCCCACCCCACTGGGCCTGCGTGTGGAGAAATTGGCTTAGTCCCTATATTCCAGCACCATCCGCTTCCTACAACCACCCTCTGCCTTAGAATTGGTTGTACCCCAAACCAAGAAGCATCTCCAGGGTCAGGACCAACCTGGTTCCAGTAGGCACACAGTCCCCACACAGACATACACAAACAGTGGCCAGGTGGGGACATTGTGTCTCTCCCACCATGCCCCTTAAATGACGGGGGTCCAGCAGTTTTTGTTTGAGACTCTCTCTGTTCAGGGAAACAGAGGCTCTGATTGTCTTCATAAACCATCAGAAAAAGCATCTGACGTCACACTTGCTGCATCTTGGCTGAGATTTACTCACACACACAACTGAGCCTTTAGAGTGTACAGTAGGTTTCTGCTACAGACAGGGCTTGTTGATACTATTGCAACAGGATCATAGTCATTACTGTTACCACCCTTTGTTAAGTACTTGTTAAGGAAAGTCCAGGCTAGGAATGTTCGCATTTAATCCTTAGAACAATGCTGCGGTGTTATTCTCATTTCATGAGTAAAGTGGCTGTGGTTCAGAGGTGAAGTAATTTGCCCAAGGCCACACCGTGCAAGCCTTGCACAGGCAGGATTAGATTCCAGATCTGCTGACTTCCAGCACTTACATTCTTGGCACTGTCTTCCTAAAACAAGTGTTTTGTTTTCCGAAAGATGTCTGGGATCACTTGCTTCATTATCCCCCACGCCCCCAAATTTACCACTCTAATAAGGCCCTTTGTCTATCTCAGCAGTTTTTTTTTTTTAATTGAAAGGATTTTCAATTTTATGAAGTCAGAAAGACCTCTAATTAACTTGAAATGGGTCTAAGGAATTGATTCCTTCCTTTTAATTGGAAAATAATTTGCTCTAAGCATTTAAATTACTATTTTCAGCAGGCAGTGAGTTCTTAACAGCTGAGAGTCACATCCTGAAATACAAACCCTGTAATGTAAATTCAGACAGCCCATGACTGCTAGCCAGAGGCTAGCAGGTGAAATTCTTTACTTAGATGTTATTGGTGATGCTAGATATACCTTTTTATCTCCTGTCCCAGTCACATGTAACTGAATTGGATTGCAGATACAGAGTGGCTAGAAGGGGGCTTTTGCCCTCCTCAGTGTCCAAGTCATAGGCTCTGGATGGTTAGAGTAGCACCTGAAGTAATCAAAGACAGGGTCCCTCCTCAGGCCCCGGACAGACATTCCTCATGGGTCAGTCACATTTCCTCTCGACAGACCATGAAGCCAGAGACATCTCTTTACCTTCTTCCTTGGATGCATAAGCATCCAGCCTTCAAAATTTCCCCTTTCTGCAATAACCGGCAAATCCCAACATTTTTGTATTTACTCCAAGGTTTATTTAAACAATCTAGATCACATTTCTTCCACGCCACCTCCCTTTCCCTTCCTTGATAGTATCTAAAGCTGGCTTTTTCCCTCCCCTTCTCTTCTCCCTGCCAGTCTTTTCAAGAATTGCTTCAGGAGATAATGTTCTATAGAGAGTGTCAGTACATTTCAGGTGACACAAATGGTGAAGGCATTTTATAGAAATGTGGCTTGTCACCATTGGACTGTTGACAGATCTATTAGTGCACCCTTTTCAATTTTCACTTTTCCCCCCTTCGGTCTAACGGATTTCCACAGACTTGATGTTTTGCAGTTGTTCTTGGAAGAGCTGTTTTGTAATTGAAACTCTAGCATTGTTCAGTACATTCAGGCCCTGGGTCTCCCGCACTCTCTGGCTCCCTTTCTTGAGCTAATTTAGGATTTGGCTTCGCCTGACCTTTCTCACTGCAGTGAAAAATATTTCCTTGGCTTTTTTCTTCCCCTCCCCTTTGCCCCCTCCCCTTTGCACAGAGCCTATCTATGTGCCTCCCTAGACATGTCTAATACAGACACCTCAAGTTTGGTTTCTGCTATGAAATGGAGGCAGTTCCCAACAAAGATCCAATTTTCAAATGTGCTGGGCTGCCACCTGGCCTCCTCTAACTCTGCATAGCAATGGTGACCCCGCAGATATAATCAAGAACCCAATCTTGCCCTTTTTGCTCTTGCCTTGGGTCTGAATTGCAAATAGAAAATGTGGGGCCGACCTGTGGAGAGGTCGCCACGGTGTGTGGAGGGTCCATCTCTAATATGACTGAGCGGGGCCCCTTCTCTGTCCCTTGTTCATTTGTGCTGCAGATTTTCAAAGCCTCTGAAAGAGAAGCTTTCAGGATATCTGTGTGACCATTGGCAAATAATTGTTCATAGATCCTGTAGTGTGGCTTTATTCCACACCTGCTCTGCTTCAGCCCAGCAACAAAAAAAGAAAGATGGAGAACATATTTCTGTGGGTAAATGGAGCAAGGTGGTCAAGTTCTGCTATAGCCTGGCCTCCTTTGAAGTCTGACTTGCTCAAAATTAGGAAGAAGAAGAAATGGCAAGGATGCTACCCAGCTGCCACTTCCTAAGGGTGGTACTTCCCTGGAATCATGTCCCTGCCAGGCCTGACCTATAGAAAAATGCCAGCATTTCACTGCTGCTCTATGCCAGGCTGGCATGAGAATGCCCTGTTTTAAAGGTGGCCACACACACTTCCTCCTCACCTTCAGGGGACATTCAGATATTCACAGAAGGATGCCATTTTGTGCCCTTGAGAAATCCCTGAAATATTTATCTTTTTTCTTAGCTATCAAAATACTTTAACCAAATGGCCCCATTTCATAGCCCTATATAAAATTTCTAAGTCTTTGATCTTTAAAAGACAAATCAAGCTTGTTTAGAGTGTCTGTGATTGAAAGGAGAAAATTCACAGTTGGCTTGAGTTTCTGGCCAACATTTCCAAATGCATTGAAGGGAGTGAGCAATCATGGGAGGGGCAGGGAAGCCAGGTAGACTCATGTAGAACAGACATTTTCACACCTTATCACACACTGTCAGCTCCCTGTCTCCAGACACATTAAAGTACGCTACAGCCTCAATCACAGAAACTCCAACTTTGGCTAGTAGTTTGAGATCAATTTTCATAGTTTAATTTACATTTGCTGTTGTGGGAAGTAGCCTGGTCAGTTAAGCGCACTGTATAAATCTCAGGGAAGGCCTCAAGGCCTCTCACCATGGGGCCTTTATACTCCCCTTGTGGGGATGTGTTATTTGGGCTTCTGAGGCAGACAAGCCAAGTTCAATACTGGTTGTGTAGGATATTAATTGTGTGACCCTGCATGAGTTTACTAGATTTCTCGAACCTAGTTTTCCTCATCCACAAACAAGGGGAAATACAGGTTTTTACTGGGTTGTCATAAGGATTAGAAGAGATCAATGTTTAAACACCAATACTTAGTGGCCACTCCATAAACAGGAGCTTCCATTCTGTCCATTTTCTCTTGTCCTACATCTGGAACAGCAATCAGCCCAAACATGTGTGTACATACCATGAAATATAGCTGACATTGGCCACTTCCCTTTAGGTTGCCTAACACCCACCTAGGAAATCTCTCTAGAACATAACTCTGATGAGCCACCCCCTTGGTTAACATCTTTCTGGCCTTGCAACCTCCACCTCCTTACCCGGCAGGGAGGAGGCCCCAGCCCTTCCATGAGGACCAGGCCCTACTCTCCACTTCCATGCTGGATGCCTTCCCTTATGTCTCTGCCTCAGGAAGCCTGGCCCCAGGTCTCTCAAGACCACTCAGCCCTCTTTGTCCTCCAGGTTCCCCAGTCCCTAGTTTCTGCCTTGCTGCCTGCTCATAGACATTCCTGGACATATCACATGCTGTGCCCGTCCTCACCACAGAGCTGTGGAGGTCAGCTCTGTCAGGATTTTTGATTCTAGGAAATACTTAGGAAAGGTGATAGGAACAAAATTATTTTCTGCCTCCTTTGCTCTGCCGAAAGATGGGGACTGGTGGATCCCCAGTGTGCTGAGCCTCCAGGCCCCTGGGAAGAAATTGCCATCTTGCAGTGGCCTCTGGTCTGCAGCTCTACCTAGTGCCTTCCTCCTGTGTAACCCCTCAGGAGTGAATTAGCCTACCTGGCCCAGCAGCCTCTTGTTTTGCTTTTTAAAGATGATATTTAAAAGGTCGATTTTTTTTCTCTTTGCAAACAAAATACATTTTTATCAGGGAAAATTCAACAAATCAGAAAAGCAAAAAGAAAATCTAACTTTATAGCCTACATTTTCATTTCATATATCTTCAACACTTCCCAGGCCACTACATGTTTCTTCCACATATCATTGTTTTAAATAGCTATATAAAGTTTTATCCAGTGGGCATTTATACATTATTTAATCAACCCCGTTGTCAGACACCTAAGTTAGTTCCAGATTTTCTAGGCAAATATCCTCTCAGTAAGACTTTGCAGAAATTCTTATTCTTTCATTAGGATAAATTTCTAGAAATGGAACTAGTGGGGCCAAAGGGTGTGTACATTTTTCAGGTTTTTTATGTAAATTGCCAATTTGCGTTTCCACCAGAAGAGTATCAGAGTATTCATTTCCCAAGCCCTTGGCTGATGGCTTGATTAGTTCTTTTGTCACAATTTCTTTAATCGGATGGTCCAAAGTTGCTGGAACTGGCTCCCTGCTATGTACAAGATCTCTGTTAGTAGATATAGAGGAGGATGTGCACTCTTCCTGTTTTCTTTCTTAACCTGGGCTCCTCCTACTCCGCTCCCTGTGGCCTCCTGGGAGGAAGCAGGTAGAAGACATAGTGAAGAAGTTTAAAAATCAGTGTGGTGAGCCACAGGATCTTCTAACTAGTAAAATGAATGTGACTTTTGACAACTAGGCACATTTGTGTATTGGACACATTTGCCTTCCAAACATTCAGGTCAACTTGACAAAGATTTATTTGAGAGCATGTGCTAGATTCAAAAGAACCCAGACCCCAAGAAATTCACAGTCTATAGGGTATGTAGCTAAGTGGCATGGTACATGGCAGCCTGTGGTGTGTGTAGAAAGAATTGCTGCTAGGGAGGTCATTTCTTACGATGTGGCAAGCACCCCCTCAGTTCAGGACACCCTCACTTTTGCTGTTGTTATGGGTTCATATGGTTTCAATGCTAGGAACCCATAATTCTAGGTTCCCCCACTTTCTAGCTTTGTGGCCTTGGATAAGTTACTCTGTCTGAGCCTTGTTTCCTTGCCTATAAAAGAGAGATAATCCTGTTTTCCTTGAGATCATTGGGGGAACTAAGTGTGAGAATAAAGGTCAAAGGTCTGGAAAAGTACCCGCCAAGGGCAGGCGCTCTGTCCTCTGCAGGGCGCAGCGTTCAGCTTACGCAGTGCTGAACATTTCAGAGCTTCCTCATATTTCACCTTATTTAACCCATTCTCCAAGTAACTTTGAAGTTTGCCAAGCAGCTGGTAGTCTGCCCATTGTAAAAATGAAGAAAGAGTTGCAGAGAGGCTGGGTGAATTGGAAAGATCAGGCAGCTAGTTAATGATAAAGATAAAATTAGAAGACAGCAGTTTTGGCTTATAAGCTTAAACTAAGACACTTTCCCCAAAACCACAACATGAATTTTCCTTCTTGAAATAACTAGTATCTTACAGTTTTTCAGTTAATACATTTTCTTACCATGTACCATTCTTTTCACACACACACACACACACACACACACACACAAAACCACACAAAACCACACAAACAATACTTTTCCTGAACCAGAAAGTGAATTTTTTTACTGTTTGGCCTTATTCAACCTCTGTGTTAATCCTCTAGGTACCCCACCCCACCCCCTGCATCCACAATGCCCCTTTTGCCCTTTGTTGCCTTCCAACACAGAAGGAGCCTTTCCCCCAACACAAACACTTTGTTCCATTTGACCTGAGCATCTTAGGGCAGCCCATTTCCAGAGGAGCCATTTCTAATTGGCTGTCGGCGCCTCTTTCATCACTGAGCCTTAGCCTGACTGAGTCTGGCTGATCTGCTGTGGGCCACATGATCCAGTCCCTCCTTGTAAAGCTAAGAGGTCATTACCTCCCTGTGTCATCAACCAAGCAGAGAGACTCCTGGGGCTGAACTCTGTAGGCAGCCAATTCCTTAGGAAAGGAAGCCAGGAGTAGGCAGCTGGATGGGTGAGCTCAAATACATTTATATAGTGGGGAGTAGCTAATAATGTTCTAGCCACTTTATTACATTACCTATCTTTTAAACCTCCCATACTCCCATTTTTATAGATGTTGAAACTAAGGTTTGGAGCTACTGCGTTTCCTCTTTTATACACAATTATTCAACAAATAACCACTCTCCCCCAAGCCCTGCCATTCTCTCTGTTCAGCTGAGAAGTTAAAGTAACCAGTTATCTCTTACATGCAGAACTTAATGAGTACTAAGGTGTACGTTCTGTTAACTGAAAGGTGCATTTGTTTTTACAATAAAAAGAATTGGAATTGTATTCATTATTTAATTAAGGCTGTGAATCACAGATGAAAAAATGGTTGTTTAAGTGTTGTTTATTTGTACATTTATTCTCTGGCTTGTTCCAGTGAAGACTTAAGCAACTTTCTTGACCTGAATAAAACATGTGGTGGTTGTTGCACAAGGGGCCACATCCATGTTCCAAATAACCCATGTGTGTACTCGGCTGCCAGTGTTAGCCAAAGGAGCCATTTGGTACATTAGGGTTTTTCTTTTCCTTTATAATTTGACTTCATCAGAAGCACAAATGAAATGTAAATTTCTGCATTTAAAAATATTTCTTTGGTTCCCTAAATTTTTCCTAAGTCAGGAAGATCTAACTCAGAATTCAGTTTCTTTCTCCAGAAAGACTGGGAGGTAGAAAAGAGGGGCACAAATAGTAAGACCATCAGTCAACAAGCATGGGAAAAATGTCCACACTCACAAATAATCAAAGTAATGCAAATTAAAACAACAATGAGGTCTAATTTTTCACCTATTAAATTAGCGGTCCATTTTTAAAATGGTAAGGCTAACAAGTACTATGAAACTGATAACGCATCCATTGCAGGTAGTTGGTGTAAATTGGAAAGCAATTTGGTGGAATGAATAAAAAGCTTTATATCTTTTGACCTAGTAATTTCATTCCTAGGATTTCCATAGAAGAAATAATACAATAAAAAAAAACTGTGGTATTATTTATCACTGATATTTAGAGTATGAAAAAATTAGAAACAAATTCCCGATAGTAATGGAGAAATTTATGAACTTATTATATGTCTGCTCAAGGAAATATTATGCATCCATTAAAATTATTATAATGACTGTGCAGCATCATGGTGATGCTTATATTCAGAAGAAAACAGAATATAAAATTATGCATGAGCTGTGATTGTAAATTTTAAATGTCTGCATACAGACAAAGTGAATATGTAAAAATTAAAACAGTTGTGTAGGACAGTAGGATGAAGATTTTTTTCACTATTGTGAGCTGTTATGCTGTCTTTATATTTTAATGTGGATGGCTTGGGTTTCTCTAGTCCTTCAAAGTCAAATGGCCAAGTTAGCTTCCATTTCCTCCATCTATCTCAGAAGGCAAGCTCGGAATGTCCCAGAGGGAGTGCTTTGGCAGGCCTCTCAAGCTGGGCCTGCGTGAGAGGGACTGGGTACAGGACCCTGACACCAACCCCAGACAATCCTTCTCTCTGCAGGACATTGCCGAGAATGGCTGTGCTCCTACTGCAGAAGAGCCACTGCCAAAGACTGCGCCGTCACCGCTAGTGGAGGCCAAAGACCCCAAGCTCCGAGAAGACCGGAGGCCAATCACAGTCCACTTTGGGCAGGTGTGTACCCCGGCCCTTTTATGGGTCTGTTTTTGATTGGGGGGGGGCTGCTATTTTGTTTGTAGCAGAAGCTGTAGCACATGCATGAAACGGCTTCTCAATCCTTGGCAAAGAGACTCCATGGGTTTTTCACACCGTCAAATGTTTATATGGAACAAACATGTTTGAAGGTGGTTTTCAAAAGTTTTGGGGAGACAGCATGGCTCTGGTCATCAGCTAGACCCACCAGTGAATGGAGTCATTAAACACAGCTGCTGCCTTCCCCACTCTCAGGTTCTTCGTCTAAGGTGCCTGTTAGCTAAGCATCTCATTAGAACACTTTAGCATCCCAGGCCCTTCTTTGCACCTTCAAATAAAAGGCAACAAGCGAAGTCTTAAAAAAAAATCAATTAGGAGTTCTTTATTAATGTACTTCCTGAAAATCAATATCAGGAGCTGTGCCTCTCAGAGTAAACACCCTCGCCTCCGCAGCTCTGGAGAGCCTATTCTTTACCCAACTGTCTGCAAGGGGCTGAGCATTTGAAAAATTGTCTGTTCGTTAGATTTTTTTTTTTACCCCTTAAGTAACACACTCTACTCTGTATAGAATTCCTTTCTGCGGTTAAATTTTTGGCTGAAAAGTTTATATACTCTTCCTTTTGAAGGATACTGTTTTGATTATCAAATGTCTTTTTCTTTTTTTTTTTTTTGATTTATGACAATGGCTCTGCTGTAATAAGAATTGACAAGGATTTAGGAGGGCGGTTGGGGAGAGGGTTTTTTTTTTTTCCAGTTGTGGGGCTTGAACCCAGGTCCAAGCCCTCCCTCTACCACTGAGTTGCATTCCTAGTCCTTGCAAGGTTATTTACTTTTAACCTGATTCATTAGCCATTTATTGATGAGGCATGATTTAACTAGTCTATGATTCTCACTTTAAATGCAAATGCTAGCTACTTCACATATAGGACCTAGAACCCTACATTTAGAACATTACTGTTTTTGATAGATGTTGATCAAGTGCCTGCTATCTACTATGTACCAAAGCTTGAGCTAGTCAGAGATGAAGCAACTAATGAAATTGTTGCTATGGGGTATTATTGTAAGGTGAGATTTGATTAAAACATAAAAATCATTCTTCTCTAATCAGTCTTTCAGATAGTATGTTCATGCATCTTTAACTTGGGGAAATTCATCCATTTTCTGACTTTGCACTTGAAAGGGATTTTATAGAAATTGAAATGTAGTGCAAGAACGAAACACGAAGAGGGCAGTGCTCATTTGGTTAATGATTATCTTCAAACTGCACTGGTGTCCTGCACCCCTCAAGAGCTACCTCCTCCCTTGCTTAGGCCCTGTTGGAAAAACCCACACCCCAGTTCCTGGCTGTGTTTGCTGAAAGCACAGCCCTGGTTGTCGCCAGCATGGCATTCCAGAGTCAGCTTCCTGCTTTCCTTTGTCCTCATTCCTGCACACATGAACCTGCCCATAAAAGGAGCCCCTAGCTGGAGTTCGGAGCCCATTACAGAGAAAGGGGGGGAGGAGAGGGATTTCATGGTGTTAAACATTCCGTTTTCGAAACACGAAAAAAAGAGGCCCTATTTGAAATGGATAAAGACCTTCTTTCCATTTCAGCAAGAAGTAGAGATGCTTTAATGTCACTCCCAGCTAAATGCAGAATAAGTGTGTGTGTGTGTGTGTGTGTGTGTGTGCGTGTGTGTGCGCGCGCGCGCACGCATGCATGCGGGTGGGGAATAAACAATTAAAAAAGCCACCCCAAACTCTGTTGAAATAAGAGCTGTCTGTGCCTTCACAGGTCTGCAAACTGGAGAGGATGAAAGTGGCTTTTTTTCCCCATTTGTCACTTCCCTCACGTGGCTGCCAACATTATGCAAGTGTACAGGAAGGCAGGATTTTTTTTTTAATGCATGCATGCGGATTAAGGTCAAGCCCCTAGTATCAGCCATGCAGCAGGCTCTCCCTTCCAGCTGCAGCCACAGAGCCTACCCACAGCCTCGAGATGCCTTAATTGAGACGTGCTGTCAAAGTGACAAACACATTTGCATACAGTCTACACTCTATTTATTTTCTCTGGAAAGGTCTACAGGCTGCTGTTGGTTGAACATTCTTAATCAGTTTGCTGTAAGTGAACTGCCAGCTAGCTCACTTGTGCTGGCCTCTTTTTCATTAGGTGACAGATTAGCTGTGGGGGGGATGGGCCAGGAAAACCACAGACCCCTTTCGTTTAACTCTTTCCAGCTTTGCCCCATGCTACCATGCCTTTCGGTCTTTCTCCAGGCACCTGGTTTGATGGGCCACTGGCCACAGCAAATAGAGCTGCTCTTACTGGTAGGCGTGAGTTTTGGGGACTTTATATTCTTCCTAAACCACAGGCCTTTGAGTTCCAGTTCAGAAAAGCTTGCCGTACTCTCCTACCATCTGTGTACTTTTTTTGTTATTTGATACTTTTCTTTAAACAAATAAAGACCTGTCATGCCAACTTTAGCCTCATCTTAAGCAAGTAGTAAAAGCATAGATTTAACATACTAGTAGTTAAATAGTCCAATTTTTTTCTAGGCATTAAAAATTAAAAGCATTCATCTGTAGATCTCCAAAGCCACCCATGCAGCCCCAGTGGTATACATTCTCTTTGGGGGAAAAAAATGAACACCCCAATATCTTGTGTCATCTCCGCCACAGCCCTTTGAGAAAGGGATCATTAGCCCCATTTTATGGGTCCAGGACTGGAGCTCAACAGACCTGTCCTGGCCATGGTCACCAGCATGGAAACTCAGGACAGTCTGAGTGGAGCCCATGCCAGCACCCTCACCAAGCAGGGACTTCAGTTGTTCAGTGTATCTGTTAAAGCTGGTGGTCACAGGAAAATAATTCACCTAGCCAGATTGTACATGCTAACCTCAGAAGTATCCTTGCCATGGGTTTGCTTTTCTGTAGACTTCATTCTTTAAGAGCACTTAGCTGGCTGGTGAAGATGCTGACTGTGAGATGGTTACAGAAGGTTCTCGACCTTGCAAAGATGGTCCCCAAGCAGCTAGCTAAGGAAGCTCCATGGAGACATCATCCAGGGTGTCAGGGAGCCCAGCAGGCCCTTTGCATAGCCTTCAGACAGCAGCTCTGCAGTGGGAACTGGCAAGAGGGAGTTTATTGTCAAGGCAAGAGTGGCCACAGCCAGGGACAAAAAATGTTCTGTTGCCCTCTGCAACAGTGGAGTTTCTCCTTCAAGACTGGGACATCCCTCCATTTGATTACATGTCTTTTCATCTACACACCACGTGTAAGATTAAATATTCTTCAGTCTCCACCCTCAGAGCATAGTGATAGAACAGGAGTGGACAGTCCCAATCAAGTACAAAGGGCAATGAGAGTGGTGATCCCAGAGGGGTCTGAGGACCCAAAGAGGCAATCTCTGCCCTGCCCCATACACACAGATACACACACAAGAAAAACATTCTATATAGCCCCAGGTCGGACCCTATATTAAAAGATGTTTTGTCAACAAACCAAACTCACTGTAAGTTGTTTGCTAAAACAGACATATGGTATGCCACCCAGAGCTTGTGGTAAGCAAAATGAATGAATTTTTAGTTGGCCTCTGCATTTGTATCATGTATGGTTTCTTTGAACAGTTTAAAAGTGTCAAGTAGCTTGTGAAAATGTTTAGGTTCTCCTACTTTGGAAAATGTTTAGGTTTAGAGAGGCTTTAAGGAATTACTTTCTCCTTTCTCAAGTTTAGAATCAATTGAGAAATAAGATTCAGGAGACAAATGAAATTAAATGCCAGCTTTTAAAATAAGACTAAAAGGAGAATGTTACATTAGACCTGAGGCAAATGGTTGCTAAAACATTGCCTCAGAATTTAAAAGACCGAGTTACTCTACACAGGATAAGTGGACAGTGGTGGAGGAACTGTTGGCCCGGGAGGGAGTTGCAAGGAAGGGCAGAGCATATTCAGTTCCTTTCCAGACCTCAAGAGAGGGCCCCCTTCCCTCCCCAGGCAGGAGTGACAAGACAAGCTCATGCTTTTCTCTCCTGGGATGGGGAATAGAAGTTTGCTCCTGTCCAGGGTTTTGGAAGGGATGACAAGCAGTGTCCTCCCTCACCTGGGTACCCTCAGCTGCAGCACTGTGGCCCTTCCCTTGGGAGGAGTCAACAGAGGTGGCACCCCATGGAAGCAGCACCCTGCATTTTGTCAGATGGCCAGGTCACAAGGTGCTTTCACATCTTTGCTCACTGAACTGGGTCTCAACTATCTGCTGATAAGGAAGAAAGCCTTTTACCTACTGTACAAGTAAGAAAACTGGCTCAGCAGGGACAGTTTGCTGGAGAGAATAGCTTATGCCTGCTCCAAAGCTAACAGCAGCACTTCTGCTTCCAGTCATATCCAGCTCTCCCTCCAGGCTAGGAAACAGGATGACTCTGTAGTCCCAGGACACTAGATTCCAGGCAAGGCTCTGGTTCAAGACCAGGCTGGGCCCTCTCCAGAGCCCTCCATTCTCAGCTTTGCCCCCTTCATGTTTCCCTCAAATGATTGGTCTGCAAGCAGTGGAATTATCTGCTTTCTAATCTGTCAGATTCCAAAAAGTGTGTATTGAAAGGTTCCTCTGTTCTCCCATTTGAGCAAAGGTTTCTAAATTCTGTAATATAGTTTGAAAAGCTAGTTAAACCAGAGTCCCAATTAATCACCACTGTGGCTTCCAAAGAGATGTGACAGGGAGGTAGGGACAGTACCCAAGGACTAGTGCTTGGAATGTAGTTGTTCACTTGTCTGTGTGTTTCCAGAGTTCTGGCTTTACAGGCATGAGCCAGTCATTTAATGCTAGTCTCTGCTGGGCTGGAAAAGCTGCCCGAGCCAGCAAATGACCTCTCAGCACCTTGGCTGTATGTGTCCTGAGAAATTCCTCTGTCCATTGAGCTTGGAGACTATGAAATCACTCATCTGCACAGTGCCAGTCTCCGAACTGGCGCCTCACCGGTAGCCCTCATGTGACCTTGTGGAGGGTGAC